GAAATATTTCATGTTGCGCACACTAAACAAGTCAGTCCAAGACTAATGACATGGCAATCGGCTGCTAAAATATCCGCTGCTAGTATTAGTGGAGAGAAATGGTGCGCCTGCGCATAAGGTGCGTAAGGGAAATGAATGCAACACCATTATAGTAATCAGTCATTAGCGAACGTTGTTGTTCGTTATTAATAATTATGTATAACAGGACATTGTAAAAATTAAGTTATGACAGTTTTGTTAAAACGTTTCTTACATACCGTTATATTGGCTGGGCCACAAAAATATTCGTTGTAGGCTGCGTGCTGCCTGTGGGCTGCGAGTTTGACATGATTGCAGTACAGCCAATTTTTAAAAGCAAAAAATTTCTCTGAAAGTATTATTTTTCTATGAATTTTTTTTCTTGTGAATTAGAATTGTTTTTTTTAAATATTTTTATTGATTTCAGAGAGGAAGGGAGAGTGAGAGAGAGAGAAACAATGATTAAAAAGAGAATCATTGATCAGCTGCCTCCTGCACTCCCTCTACAGGGGATCGAGCCTGCAACCCCGGCATGTGCCCCGACCAGGAATTGAACTGTGACCTCCATGTTCATAGGTTAACGCTCAAGCACTGAGCCATGCTGGCCGGGCAGTATTCTTGTTTTTTATTGGGAGACCAAAATGATCTCAGGTGGAGGTGATGTCTGCTACCTCTAGTGCTACCTCTGAGCCCAGCCATCATGAATTTTACAGCTAGAGCTTTTTGTAGCGTGAAAAACTCCTGAGGCTGAATTTGAGGGTCTATTCAGATATTTATATCCTCAATCCATTTCAGTTAGGTACCGTCTAAAAGTAAATTGATACTGACGTTTTCATTCTGAATACTCTGAAAAGATTAAACTGTTTTTCCAATTCTCATTAACTGATAAACCACTTAATGTATTTTGATTTTTTTTTTTGATGAGAATTTTATTTTATTTTTTTAAATTGTTTTGTTAAAACGTTTCTTACGTATCGTTATATTGGCTGGGCCACAAAAATATTCGTTGTAGGCTGCGTGCTGCCTGTGGGCTGCGAGTTTGACATGATTGCAGTACAGCCAATTTTTAAAAGCAAAAAATTTCTCTGAAAGTATTATTTTTCTATGAATTATTTTTCTTGTGAATTAGAATTGTTTTTTTAAATATTTTTATTGATTTCAGAGAGGAAGGGAGAGTGAGAGAGAGAGAAACATCAATGATTAAAGAGAATCATTGATCAGCTGCTTCCTGCACTCCCTCTACAGGGGATCGAGCCTGCAACCCCAGCATGTGCCCCGACCAGGAATTGAACTGTGACCTCCAGGTTCATAGGTTAACGCTCAAGCACTGAGCCATGCTGGCCGGGCAGTATTCTTGTTTTTTATTGGGAGACCAAAATGATCTCAGGTGGAGGTGATGTCTGCTACCTCTAGTGCTACCTCTGAGCCCAGCCATCATGAATTTTACAGCTAGAGCTTTTTGTAGCGTGAAAAACTCCTGAGGCTGAATTTGAGGGTCTATTCAGATATTTATATCCTCAATCCATTTCAGTTAGGTACCGTCTAAAAGTAAATTGATACTGACGTTTTCATTCTGAATACTCTGAAAAGATTAAACTGTTTTTCCAATTCTCATTAACTGATAAACCACTTAATGTATTTTGATTTTGTGTTAAATCAGCTGATCTTTCCTACAGGTGTCAGGGAATTATTTCATATTTTCTTTTATGGAAAATATTTTTGAGAGCTAGATCACTGAGGTTTTTCTAAGGAAATTTGGTGCCAACGTTGCATAATTGGACAGCGTTGACATTGAAAGTTTAATGCTGGGCTGTTTCTTTTATGGATCTTTAGTGTCACACCTTGAATTTGAGCAATGCTCTTGCTTATTTGGTGTTAATTTAAAATGAGAAAAATTAGAGTCATGAAACAGGTGATGATTATTTTGAAGAAGCATTTGATTTCTTAGGTATCATATGAGGGAAGCCTTTTTGATTTGATTAATTTGCATCTCTAAAAGAACTTATTCTTTATCTTAGGACTAGAGGCCTGGTGCATGGATTTGTGCACCGGTGGGGTCCCTTGGCCTGGCCTGAGCCCTCTTGCAATCTGGGCCCCTCATGGGGATGTTGGAGAGCTGGTTTTGGCCTGATCCCCGCAGGCCAGGCT